AATATGCCTCCAAAAATCATCTTCTGAAATCGTTAAGAAAAATTAAGAAGAAAAAGGCCCTGGTGGTATTTGACAAATATTTCCTTTTTATACCCACAGCTTTATGGCTAAAAAGGGGTATATATATTTTCATACGGAAACAATGTGCCTAATCGAAATGCTAACCCACGTTTTATTGGACCAAATCCGTTGCAGATAAATTTGGAGTCGATTTACAAATATTCGTCCATCTGTTTGTCTGACAGGTTAGTGTGCACGATAACTCTCGAAGGCAGTAACCGATTTTAACCAAACGTTGCACATCATAATATTACGTCTAAACGTAGTTTAAGTCCGAAGACGGGGATTATATATCCACTCCTTCCGGTACTACCGACACAAAATGTTGAACATTTTGCGGAAGTTAATTTTGTAATCGTCGGACGGGGCCGGCCATACGATACCCTACACAACTACAACGGAACTCCAACTTTGTGCGACTGTTTATTCCGAGCCTGGGCAATATTTCGTAATATTTGCACCCTTTTGCCCGATTAGAGGTCAACATCACCTCTTCCCTACACTGACATATTTTCCGAATATTACTAATATTCTGTACAGCCCTTCTAATTACTTGTCCAGATACCCTTCACAGTGGGTTAGATGGACTCGAAAAACACAAAAAAAAATAATTTTCGGTCCACTTCATCTCTAAATTATTATCTGATCACCGAATATTTCAAAGGGATCAGCGCTATATTTCCGCCCTCTAGTGTGGTAATGGGTTACTAACTACGCGAGTACATACGATAATATATACTATAAATTTTTGTGTATATGTCCCTCAAGAGTAAATATGAATATATCCCGGGAAAACAAATTTTGTAATTTTTCACACAGAAGTCAGGGTTTATTTGACCCGCTAAACATTGACCAATCTGTATCAAAACAGGCGTACTTATTCTTTGGTCCGCTCCTCTTCTCCATGTAAAATTTCGCGAGGTTCGGGCCATAATTGCGGCCTCTGGAGCGACCAGAAAACCCGTCAAAAAGAAAGTATTTAGTCGATTTCACCCCCCTAAATATTAACCGATCTTTAACAAAAACAATAGGGGTCTTCACTGACCAGAACCCATCCTACATGAATTTCGTGAAGATTTATCCATAACTGCTTGTATCTTGTTTACAAATTATAATGAACAGACGGACGGAAGGACACACATGTCTAGATCGTCTCAGCTAGTCGAGATATGACGATCGGTATACTTAAAGGTAAGTCTAGGACCAATATTTCGCGGCGTTACAAACTCTTGGGGCTGCACAAGGCTATAATACCCTGACAACATAGTTGTGTAGGGTATAAAAACCCTAGCTCAGGGCACGGATGTGTCTCGAAGACAGTTCTTAACAAACAAATCAAAAACAATAAAAAAAACTTAGAAAATGTAAGATGGTCCAAGCTTACTGCTCTTTTAAAAAATATTATTTAAAAAATCGAAATTATGCTGGGATGGCCCATGAAAAAAATATTCTTTGAAAAAATCGAAATTATGCTCGGATGGTCCATGAAAAAATATTATTTAAAAAATCCACAAAAATCCGAGATTTGTCTCGGATGGTGTTCTTTAAAAAAAATAGTTATTAAAAAATCCACGCCTATAATGGTTTAAAAAATATATTCTTTAAAAAATCCATGCCTATAATGGTTCTTAAAAAATATTCTTTAAAAAATCCATGTTTATAGTGGTCCTTGAAAAAATATTCTTTAAAAAAATCCATGTTTATAGTGGTCCTAGAAAAAATATTCTTTAAAAAATCCACGCTTGTAGGGTCCTTGAAAAAATATCCTTTAAAAAATCAGTCGTTGAAAAGATATTCCCTAAAAGAACCACGCTTATAAGGGTTCTGCTCTTTGAAAGCAATCGATTATATTCTTAGCTGAGTTTAGAGCTCAGATGGTCCTTGAACAAATTTTCCTTAAAAAAATTCACGCTTATTGGGGTCCTTGAAAAAATATTCTTTATACAATTTAAGCTTATAGAGGTCATTGAAAAAATATTCTGTACGAAATCCACGCTTATATGGGTCCTTGAAAGAATATCCTTTAAAACTACACCTATGGCTCTGTGAGTTCTTGAAAAATATCCGCATTAGTAATTTATTCTATTCGTCGCCTCTGTGCCACTTTCCCCTAATCTCTAATTTATGTTAATCTTAAAGCTGCTGTTGCATGAAATCTACCCAGACAAATATCGTACATGGATCGCTGGGAAATATTATCTTGATAATAAATATCATTATTGTATTTTTGGATCTAATGTGTTTTTGGGTTTATGGAAAATAGAAGCAAAATGTTGTAATTTATTTTCCATACATTAATGTGCATTATTATGATGTTATGGTATTAATTTGTTGTATATGGAAAATATGTAAATAGCAACTAAGGGAAGGATACCACATAAGTATGTGCAAACAATTTCAATTTTTTGCTGATTTTGATATCAACTTGCCTACATAATTGTAATGACAATGCCTCCGAGAATGGAATTGTTTTGTTTTTGGGATTCAGATATCAACTCGACACTATTGTAAATGTAAATTTTTGGGAATAACCACACTTGTAATTATTTTATTTTCATAACATCTGAAATGTGTTTATTAATTATTTCAAAGTATATTTTTTGGTATACCTTCCCCGAACACTAATCCATGACGAAATTTTCATATTTTGTAAACACCTTTTGTTATATGGAAAATTTTACAAATTTGCTACTTAAACCCAACCTGAAGAAGACGAATAAGAGGAGATAAATAATCGCTACCCACTTGTACTACTTACCATTACACTTAGTTATCATGTGATTAACATAATCACTAACAAAGAGTTTGTCGTTTTTTTGTTTTTCTTTAAAAAACATTGGAATGTACTCCACTAGCCATGGTGGTGATGATGATGAAGATGATTTGATGGCTTGGGATTTTCATATCTTCACAGCAAAAAGAGGAAAGTGTGTAAACCTAATATTTATTTAGCATGGCATTTGAGATAACTTCACGTTACTTTTTTTCTACGTCTTCGTCTTCTCAAGTTGGGCTTGCCACACATTTGGGTTGTTCCTCTTACACGAAAAAAAACTATACATGCAAAAACTGTGAAATATTTAGTGTCTATGAAGAAAAAAATAGAAAAACATATTGTAAAGTAATTGCAACATGCGAGCAGGCATCTCAACATTAAAAACAATTCACTTCCATCTTCATCCACAAATCCCAAATACTGCAAAGAACCCAAGTGAAACAATACGCAACAGTTAACAATAACAGCAAGTCAGCCAGACCAGACCAGGCCAACCAGGCTAGCTAGTCAGTCAAGTGGCTTAAGAAAATGAAAATAGATTTTCAAGAAAAAAAAAACCGAAACTTAATTAACATACACACATTTGTCTGGCATTTCGAAATCTATTTGAAATTGAAACTAAGCCAGCTTTGGATGGTTGGTTGGATGGTGCATCCATCCATCCATTCAACCTCTGAATTGGCGCAGTGGCACTGGAATTATGAAAATTGAAAAAAAACCAAAACTTCCCACATAATAATTTGTAGCTAATTAACACTTTTAGAGATTAACACCAACTATGGCGAAAAAAGACACACACATACAGAAATATTGCAGTGAAACACCCTACACAGAGGATCCTTAGTACCTTCAGGAAACTGCAGTTACTGATGAGGAATTTTTTCTATGGAAAAAAGAGCCCTTAGAGTATTGAGGATTTTTTCTATAGAAAAAAGAGTCCTCAGTTGTACTGAGGAATTTTTTTCTATAGAAAAAAGAGTCCTCAGTTGTACTGAGGAATTTTTTTCTATAGAAAATAGAGTCCTCAGTGGTACTGAGGAATTTTTTTCTATAGAAAAAAGAGTCCTCAGTGGTACTGAGGAATTTTTTTCTATAGAAAAAAGAGTCCTCAGTGATACTGAGGAATTTTTTTCTATAGAAAAAAGAGTCCTCAGTGATACTGAGGAATTTTTTTCTATAGAAAAAAGAGTCCTCAGTGATACTGAGGAATTTTTTTCTATAGAAAAAAAGAGTCCTCAGTGATACTGAGGAATTTTTTTCTATAGAAAAAAGAGTCCTCAGTGATACTGAGGAATTTTTTTCTATAGAAAAAAGAGTCCTCAGTGATACTGAGGAATTTTTTTCTATAGAAAAAAGAGTCCTCAGTGATACTGAGGAATTTTTTTCTATAGAAAAAAGAGTCCTCAGTGATACTGAGGAATTTTTTTCTATAGAAAAAAGAGTCCTCAGTGGTACTGAGGAATTTTTTTCTATAGAAAAAAGAGTCCTCAGTGGTAATGAGGAATTTTTTTCTATAGAAAAAAGAGTCCTCAGAGGTACTGAGGAATTTTTTTCTATAGAAAAAAGAGTCCTCAGTGGAATTTTTTTCTATAGAAAAAAGAGTCCTCAGTGGAATTTTTTTCTATAGAAAAAAGAGTCCTCAGTGGTACTGAGGATTTTTTTTCTATAGAAAAAAGAGGACTCTTTTTTCTATATAGTGGTACTGAGGAATTTTTTTTTATAGAAAAAAGAGTCCTCAGTGGTACTGAGGAATTTTTTTCTATAGAAAAAAGAGTCCTCAGTGGTACTGAGGAGTTTTTTTTCTATAGAAAAAAGAGTCCTCAGTGGTACTGAGGAGTTTTTTTTCTATAGAAAAAAGAGTCCTCAGTGGTACTGAGGATTTTTTTTCTATAGAAAAAAGAGTCCTCAGTGATACTGAGGATTTTTTTTCTATAGAAAAAAGAGTCCTCAGTGATACTGAGGAATTTTTTCTATAGAAAAAAGAGTCCTCAGTGATACTGAGGAATTTTTTTCTATAGAAAAAAGAGTCCTCAGTGATACTGAGGAATTTTTTTCTATAGAAAAATTACTTTTTTCGAAAAAATTATCATTACTATAAGGACTAATTTTTCTATATATTCCACAGTTCTTTAAGTTCCCCATTGTTTTATTTATCCATTTGCAGATTTTGGAATCCAGCAATGAAGACCAGCGACCACCAAATGAGGCAAACGGCAACACCATGTCGGCACAACGTGCTAATTGGCTCAACAAGTTGAGTGGCGGCGGTGGTGGACCTTTGGATGGTTTGGATGCCCGGAAATATGCTCCCCATGGTGTTTATGATAATGGACGTTACTATTAGATTAGGCGACTCCCGTAGAAGCTAACTCTTAACACCTGTATAACAATAACAACAACACCTATAAACCTTCTCGAAAAAAAAAACAGACAAATTAACGAAAATCAAACCAAAAGAAATAATGACAACAACAACTGTTACAGAAAACCCTTCGGTAGTAAATCGATCTCTCCTCCCCCCAAGTGTTGTGCATGAATTATGAATTTTACATTACGTCCAAAAGAAAAACAAAAACCTTGCTCAATTTTATGTAAATTAAAAGAACATGTTCCTATATCCCCCAACCTAAATTGATGTCCTCTCCTTGCATATTAAAAAATATATATTTACTCACTTATTTTGGCAGCTATTGTTGTTAGTTAATTTAATATTTTATAACAATTAATTGTTTGTATCAGTGTAAATTGTTGATTGATTTCTCCCATCCACCGCCTCATGTATTCTTTCTTAGTTTTATTCTTTTCTTCATCTTCTTCGTCTTGAGTCTGTGCTTAAATGTGTCTCTCAATCAAAATGAAATTTGCAAATAAAAAAACACCTTAAAAAAATAATTATAAAAATTAAAAAAAGTGAAAGTCAAAATGATTTCAATGTAACATGAAAACAATAATTTTAATGTAGCGAATATCGATTCCACATTCCGATCATATATTATTCTATATACAATGTAATGATTAAAAAAACAACTATATATGTATAAAAAAATAAATATTAAAAATTAATTATAATAAAGGCGTTTAAAAAAATTAAAAAATATTACAATGTTTCTAAATATTATTTGCGATCCTATGGAATTTAACGTCCAATCCCAAACTATCAAATAATGTTTATTACGACGGCCAAGAAACCGGCGAAATTGTGATATGGTGTTATAAACGATATAATATAAAGGACACAACATTCCTCAGGACTTGGATTTTGACCTTATTTTGGAATGTCCAAATTATACCAAAATTATTTTGTAATTATTTTTATACTGATATAATTTTAAACTTTCTCAGCGGCTATCCAGAACTCCCATTAACCAATCTTTTCTGCCGAATGTGAAGACTTCGTGCATTGTTTAAAAAAAATATATATTTTTTGAAATCGGTGGCCGTAAAATTTTTTTTAAGTATCTACGATATGTTGGTCCATATTTTTTAATAAAATTTTCTCTATAGTTTCCATAAACAAATTTTAAACGTAATTTACGCGTTTATGTTATTACAAAAAAAATTGTTCATTTTGTTTACACTTTCTTATATGTCAACAGCTCATCTGCAGCATATTTTTCGAATCATGGAGTACAAAAAAAACTCCATAAGATTAAATTTTTTTGTATTATTATTCAATTTTATTATTGACCGTTCATTAACATAACAGCCATTCGAATTAGTTGGCCAGATCACAAAATATCTCACGTTCGGTTTATAATAGGCTGCCTAAAGCGTCTAGAAAACCAGACCCATGAAATATCATTTGACGATCAATGGAAATTATAGGCTTCGTCTTTGGCCATAACCGAAACTTCATGTAAAAGTTCTTAGCGATCAGCCTAAAATTTTCGACCTCTAACACGTAGACCACCTCAAATATTTACTTCCATATCCGAGTACATACAACCATATAATAGGTATCATTTTGAAGGTCAACCACACCTCTCGTATATACTGTAAACGTTTCCGGTCTATATTCTTCAGGAGTAAATATATAGGACAGAGAATGCAAATTTTGTAATTTTTCACACGAAAGTCAGGGTCTATTTGAAATCGTGACTGATCTTTATCAGTAATGCTTGTTTTTTGCCTTCTCCCGTAAAATTTCGTAATTTCGGGTCATAATTGTAGCCTCTAAAGCGACAAGAAAATAGATAAAAATAAAAAAATGTATCCCCTAAGTATTAACCGATAATTACCAAAAACAAGAGGGGTCTTCTTTGGCCGAACCGAACCTAGATGCGCAATTTTGTGACGATCTGTACTGTGACGATCATAACTGTGATCTGTACGTGTTAAAAACTTATAATGGACACACGGACGGAAACATGTGTCTAGATCTACTCAACTAGTCAATATATGACGGTCGGTATACTAAAAGGTGGGTCTAGGACCAATATTTATGGTCTATAGGAACTCTTGGGCCATTTAAAGAATAATTAAAAAAATCAATGCATCAAGAAAGCCCTTTTATTTCTGAAAAATCGGAAAGCCAAATTTTGCTTCCGGAAATGCTCATATTAATTTGAATCCGACTCAGTGGAGAAACATTATGTTCTCGGATGATTTAACCCGAGCTGTGCTAGCGTGATCACACTCATAATACGATCAATAAATCATCTAAAAAATCTGTACCCGAGCAGTGCTATTGTGAACATAGGGCACATCCCAAAAATTGATCCATGGCTCCTTCTGAGTCGATTTATGCATGTCCGTCCGTCCATGTATTTTTGTGAAAAAGGAAAGTTGCATTTAAATGTGGTCCAGGTTACTTATTTGTTCCAAGGACGAACCCTATTGAAATTTGAGAAAATTGGTTAAGATTTAGATATAGCTCCGATATATAGTTACGTCCGATTTTATGTAAATAAGAAAAAATCAAAAAGTTGCTATAGTTTTTACCCATGGTAACGTGCCAAAACACCCAACATAGCGAATAATGCTGTATAATTCTCTATCACTTTAATAAGTACTATCCCATATAAAATATTTGATTGAGGCCAATTTGAAAAACAACGCCACAAAAAGGAATTTTTTTAATACATATATGGGGGACCATTATTGATGTACCTGCTTAACACCCTTCTTTAGTTTAATTAGTTAATTTATCCTAATTTTAATTGCATTCAGTTTATTTCCCTTGATTTTCATACAAATTTCCTGAAAAACCCCTATACCCTAATCTCCCACATTTCCTTGAAAACTCCATTCAAAATTTATTACGTGATATAATACGACAATTCAAAAATATGTTCGCTCTTCCTATATAAAATATTTAGACACTTACTATGTCTTAGATCATTTTTTGTTAAGTTATGACTTTTTAAATAAACATATATTTAAGAAAAACAAAAACAAACTACAACACCGAAAAACACAACTCTTCCCTCATTGTGCCTTTCTTACTGCTTCACACATTTATCATCATCAAATTTTGTAAAAAAAATGAAACCCAATTACTCGCTTACCAAATGAGAATGGATGGACGGACAAGGGTATATTTTTATTTATTTCTCACCTCGAAAGAAACATAACTTTTACCACCTGGCTCGTTTTTTATTTATTTTTCGTTTAATGTTTTTTTTCAACAAAATTGATGTGATGTCGTAGGAATGGTTTGTCCAACCCCATCTTCACAAAAATATATCTTCAGGATTGGAGGTGCATTTGATCACTGTAAAGTCTGAAGATTGCTGCTCAGTGTTGCAGTGCAACAAGTGTTTAAGGCATTTTGGTTTTCCTTCGTTGTCTTCTTTGTGGTGGAACTTGTTGCAGACTCCAAATGATTGCAGCCAATGTTGATCCACTGCTGTTGTGATTGTTATTGGCTGCTTAGTGCTGCCTGAACGTTAAGGAATTCATCGTCCATCCATTCATTGCTGTTATGATTTAACATTTATTTGCTGCTGCCTGGCTGGCGGACGAGATGGCTGCTCGCCATTGCAACAATAACTTGCTGTCCAGCTGAAGATGATTTTATTTTAGTTTTTTCTTCTTCTTGTTATGTTGGTACGAGTTACATCATTTCTTACAATTTAAGCCTGCATTCATTCCATTCAGCTTCAATCAACGCGACCATAATGTTGATTTGTTGCGCGCTGAATGCCTGGCGGATTTGCTCTGGAAGCTCCTTTCCAAATTTTAGTCTTTGATAGAAAAAATAAATGAAACCACCACACCACACACAGGTCCATGGTAATTGGTTTTTGGCGACTCTTAAATGAAGAGTTTTTCGGGATTTATTTTGAGGATTAAACAGTGGTTAAGTGGAGTTTTGGGTTCGAAGCCAAAACCAAATAAAGTCCATTCCTTCCTCTATGAAAGAAAAACCAGCACTGTTCCACTCAAAAAATCAAGGTGCTGCACCTTGCTTAACATTTTTCGAAAGAAAAAATGTGAGGTCCCAAAAAACTGGCCCATTGAAAATTTAATGATAATAATTCGGGATAATAAATTTTAAGGTAAAAACTATATTACCACACAAATGAAATGAAAATGCAGGCCAGACTATAAGTGTCTGTATTTATCACAGAATGGCTGTTTGTATAAGACCAAAATGAGGTTACATAAATCCACTAACCGTACATACGATGAACGACGGTTACGCTTTGCCATAGCACATCAGAGAGTTAGCTTTTCTTTTCTTTTTTATTATTTTGGGGTTTCTTTGCTATTAGGTCGAGGAAATGGCGTCTATGTATGTAAGAGCAAGTGTAACAGTTTCAGTTTTTTATATGAATTTTTAAATTTAAATCTCAAGTACTTGTAGGGTAAGTACCATGCCAGATTACTATTCATTATTATTTGGCGTTTTTGTTTGGTTTTTAATTTTTGTGGGGGACCTATCATTATGATGATGTTTTGATTTTGAGGCATGACCAGCATCAACGCCCCCCCAAAAAACAATGCAAACAAAACCAAAATAAAAAATAAATGATTTTAGTCTCCAAATCCATACCACACTGGAGATGGAAAATTTGATAAATTGTACTTTTTCAGTTGTTCACATAAAAATATAGGGAATTGATAATCAGATTTTTGCAAGGACCTTCAGAGACAATATCGTAAATTTTAAGAAACATTATTTTAAAGAACGGTGTATTTTTTAAATATGATTTTTTCAAGACCAATAGAGCCATAAGCGTGGATTTTATTAAAAAATTATAAACAATAATTTTTTTAATATGTTTTGAAGAACCATCCGAGACACAAGCGTGTTTTTTTTTAATATTTTATGAAAGACCATCAGAGGCAAACATGTTTCTAAAACATTTGTCAAAGAACCACAGAGGCACCTTTTTTAAA